GATCGTCATTTGTTTTCGAGTTATTTACCAAAATTTCCTTATTTCTTATAATGGCCATGTTCGATTTCAACAAAATAATATTCTGTCAAAAAAATCCTTCAAAATGATGTATTACAAGCTATGAAAAATGAAAACGTTTTGCAAGTCCTTCAAAATAGGTACAGTTAGAACCGATATTTTGCTAAACTTGGCAACACTGCTTATAGTTATAAGAATAAAACCAAATAAGTATGATTTAATATTAGAATCAGTATTTTTGAAGTCTTCTGGCAATTTTACCCTGATGTTCATATGAAATATACTATACAGGTTTTTGGGGGACATCTCGGTGTGACGAGCCATCGATATACGTAGAACATATCCAGTTTATATTCCACAGAACGCAAGCTGAAATATTGCCAGCATGTGCAAATAGAATTCAGATAGTTCCTTAAATTATCAATGTCTCTAAAATCTCCTGCGGACGACTCAACGTGATATACCAAAAGAACAGGCATGAGACATTTCAAAGTCGCAATAAGAATTCTTCAGTACTTCTTTACATTGTAACATAACAATATCTGCAAGGGATTTAGAAAGAACATCGCAAAACTGCCTGTAGATATTTCGTGCTTGCTGGGTATGTGACAAAAAAAAAACGCATCACTCACTAAAAGTGTATATTTTTTAACAAATTTTCTACATATGTAAATGGTTTAAAAAATAACAATTATTGATTAAATGTTACTTTATTTTCATAACTATGCTTTATTAAATTAAATTTTACTTTTAATAGCCCAAGCATATACAGGGTGTCCGTTTTTCGAGGGCAACCATTGGGATATAGGAAACGGTGAAAAATATAGGGTCGGTAAAATTGGGGCAAAGTTTCGCATTTTGATGCTGAATAAAATGGTACTTTGACATTTGAAAAATTCCGAACACTTTCCGAGATATCCGGAAAACCCAAAAATTTTGCAAAATGGATTTTATATGTTTCTGAGCTTATTTGAGGAGATATTTCAAAATAAATGTCACTTCATCGTAGCCACTTTTTCTAGTATACAAGATGATATTATCAATTTTAAAATTTAACGTTTCGTCTTTTTGTCACCATCATCAACTCAATTTTTTTAAACATGAACCTTCATTTTCTATTTTAGATTTAATAAGCTTATGATGTCCCAAAATCAATGACGTATTTCATTCATTCGAAAAATTTATAATATTGGCACTTTCCATAAGAACTTATTATGTTAGACCGAGAAAATAATTTTGGTAGGAAATTACTAAAAAGTAGATTTTTTTTTTCGAATAAATGCGATACGTCATAGTTTTTGGGACATCAGATGCTCTCAAAATCTGAAATAGAAAATCAAGAGCCGTATTTGAGAAAAACGTCTGATGTTAAATTTGATAATGTCATCTACTAGAGTAGAAAAAGTGGCTATGATGATGTCACCGTTTCCTATATCCCAATGGTTGCCCTCGAGAAACGGGAACCCTGTATACAGAATTTGGTTAACAAATATTTATACTTTTTTATTTTTAATTAGGTAACGGCCCAATTAAGGACCGATTGAGAAGTTTTTTATCTCTGCGGGACCATCCGTGGACGCGTTTCGCTGTATCACAGCTCATCAGCACGGTTAGGTCCCGCAGAGAGAAAACACAACCCATTTTTGGTTCCTTCCCGGAACTGGGTTTGAAACAAGTAAGATGAAGACAGAGTCTCCATCTATTTTAAAAATATTTATACTTCTATAGGGTGATGCGTTTTTTTTTGTCACACAGTATAAATAGGCAACATTTCCTATTTTAATTCATTTCTGTTGCGAATTCGACTTTAGCTTAACAAAGATTTGTTATCGTTTTGTGTGTGTGTTGTTTAAAAGTATATTATCGATTTACTATGGATCTTAAAATTATTTTAAGTGAAAAGGGAAAAAGTGAGGAAACACGGTGGATTTGCACCAACAAAAGTAGGGGAACCCGGGGTAGAACGTGGTATTTAGTGTTTGAAATTATTTTTGAGAAAATTTACCCACAGATCTTTGAACTTTTTTTTGGAAACTTTATTTGAAGTTATTTCTAATGATTATTACAACGATATTTCATTATTTCCTTTCCTGTATTTTGCTATTTATTTTTATGACAAAATCTGCACAATTTCCCGTTGTGCCACACCTATGGGGTACATTGGGGTACATATGAGGCAGAATAGAATAGTCGCTTCAAATTTAGTTAACACTTGTTATTGATCACTAGCTCTAACTCCTAACTGATGCATTGACTCCGAAGACCATTGTTGTTCCGTTTTTCTTAAGTATATTCGATCAATCTAGAAAAAATAATTTATTCAGAATGATAATGGTTAAATGCTGTTTAATACGGAGTAAGTTCTCTAGCTACAATCTATAATGTATTTAAAACAGTCTACATCATTAAACAACATCTACAATGAAGTTTAGCAGTTCAACATACACGTGGAGCGGGACGTGGTTTACCCCGTTCTGCCTCTCCCCATTCTGCCCCAAGAGCATGCGTCGCCATTGTGACTACATAAACAATTGAAGGGTTTTAACTAATAATTTCGATTAATGGGGAAAAGGTACCCTAAGAGAAGGGCTTTCTTCCTATACTACACAAAATGACCGGCTAGTAAAATTAAACAGTCATCGTTGTTCGCAAATTCGTCAATTCTCATAGTGGATCTTCTATAGTGATGCATTCGGCGCAACAGCTCTCGAAGGACTACCAACAAGGTCAAATTTGTTGCCAACGCATTCCTAGGATATAGTAATGTGAAGATATATCGATATGGCAGCATTGCACTAACCCGTGAAAATTTGAAACGAGGTACCCCGTTCTACCCTGGTACCCCGTTCTATACCCGGTTCCCCTACCTACATGTGAATCATATGTGCTTACTGTGTTTGAGGTGGAAAATTTAATCATGTACAGAAGCATTGACACAGTGCCAATGTGGAATAGTTAGAGCGCCAAATTGTTGGTAATAAATCACAAATTATTCAATACCTAACAAGATGTTATTATTTATTGAAACCCTCATAAAAGAATTTCCCCGGGACCGAATCCACCTATGCAGTATCAGGTAAAAACAAAGTTTGGGACCGAATTTACACGTTATTTTTGGACTAATATTTCTTGGGACCGAATTTACCTATACCCCTCGCTTATTATGAGAGCTACAAGGTGGCTAATTAGGAAAGTTTTAGGGAATTTATATCCTGTTGTTAAATTTGCTTCAAATAAGTTTTCTGTTTTCTAGAAATCCGAGAAAAACTGAAAATAGCCAATTTTGTTTTTTGTCAATAAATTCATAAACCGTTAACTTTAGACTTTTCTAACTTTAACATTATTGAGACACTTTTTTGCGACGGATATTTTCGTGATTTGAAAACATCCCGATCGTCGTTTGTTTTCGAGTTATTTACCAAAATTTCCTTATTTTTTATGGCAGCCATCTTCGATTTCAACAAAATAATATTCTGCGAAAAAAATCCTTCAAAATGATGTATTACAAGCTATGAAAACGTTTTGAAAGTCCTTCAAAATACAGTTAGAACTAATATTTTGCTAAATTTGGCAACACTGCTCATAGCTATAAGAATAAAAGCCAAATAAGTATGATTTAATATTGGAATCGGCATTTTTGAAGTCTTCTGGTAATTTTACTGAATAAAGTAAAAATAAGTAAAAGGAAATGAGGTAAGGCATAGTGAAGTGAAAAAAAAAACAATAAATCTGTAATATAGAGATTCAAATTTCGGACACACTGTAGAGAGGCTCTCACGTTCCCTTATTTTTATTTGGCATAATTCTTCTCGACGCCACGTCCGTGGACAATATCTTTGAATTTTTGTTACTGTGTCCGACAGAAGTTTTTTTTTCTTTCAAAGTTGTTCATCCATGTAATTTTTCACTGATGTATTTAGCAACGCAGCGTCTTGTTTTTCGAGAAATAATACAATCTCTATCAATATTGCTTTGGAACCCTATTATAATCTTAATATTTTTTATTTCGTTGTCACGTTTTGCAAATATGTCAGCATGTCACTTATTTGCTTTCAAATAATCTGATCCCGGTAGAGGTATTTGCCCTTGAAGAAGTTGTTTCTAGCTGGTCAGCAAAGTATAATATTGCTTGAACAGGGAGTTGTTGTTGGTCGTTTCACCCTTTCGAACTCATAGGTACTACTTCAGCCTTGGAGACATTTGTGTCTCATTGTATGGACTCTACTATTTCTACTCCTTCCCATTCATACTTGGATACTAGATGGATGGCGGCAGTGCGGGCGTCGCGGGCGACCTATCGTCCCGTACTACTGCGGTCACCCATCCAACATCCAATCTCCATCCCGACACCACGTTGCTTTGCTTGCGTAAGGCGACTTGCCTCCTCTATATCACCAAGTACTAACGTGCCAGAGAACTTGAGCATATTATGTCTTTCTGATTACTCCAAATAAGGACGAAACACGTAAAGGACTGGCTTGGAAATCTTGCATCCGCGAGCCGTTACTTGATCAAAACTCATTATACACTATGGAAAGACTATTAATTTTTGTATACCTACGTATTTTATCAAGAAAGGCGAGCCCAGACATATTCTTGCAGCTCAATAAACAATATCTATTTTAAACACATTATTAATATTGCGGTGACTATTGGGCGAACTACAATGTTTCCATGAACAAGCCTCAACTATATCGACGTTTCTTCATACAGCGACTTATAAAGATTTAGAGTGTGTCCAAGTCGGGAAAAACTTTATAAAAACGCCTAACGACTAAATACGGTTAAAAAGCATCGTTAATTTCAGGAAAATTCCGTTTTTCTCTTGACCCTTCGTAGCAGCAGCTGAATAAACAGCCCCGGCACGCACAATTCCTGCAAGTGTCGCAGGAAGAAACCGTAGGCGGCCTTTTCATGATACCGCCCCCGATGCCACGGCATCTCCGCCCTTTTTGGCCGGGAAATATCATAGCGTCAGCGACAGTCGATTTCGCGCCTTTGCCATGACTATAACCTGGCCCTGTCCTCATCCAGGGACAGTTGTTGTACAACCAAAGCCAAAGCACTAGGAGTGAAATGCATTTTATTGTACTCGTCGAAGTCCAAGATCTTTGTGATTTACGTAAAAATCGTCGGTAATCGGGTGGTAGTGAATGTAGTGACGCGTAGTGAAATTGCCGATTTAGGATTAGCCATTATCAATCATGCTAAAGTATCTCGTGCAAGTATTTATTTTGTCTCATGTTGGTGAGTTGAGAGATTATGGTATTAGTGGTAAAGAATCACAAGAACTTGACAGCACAGCACAGTTGATTCCTATTATCTTTGCTGTCTCGTGCCTCTGATATGCAGCAATTCTACTGTACGGTGTGCATAACGGTGTGCTAAAAAATGAAAGTCGGTGAAATTTCTCGTTTAAAAAATTGGTGATTTACCAACGGATACCTAATTTTGTTCCAATATGTAATATTGAGAAAAATGGTATTATTCGGAAGGAAGAAAGTTCTGAAGGGCTAAACGACTATCAGTGTGAATGTTACGGTAATCACGTAACCTATAACCTCACCAGAAAATGATTTTGAACAACTTATTTCATATGAATTCAAATGCAACTTGAGTGAGAAAATATCCCTTCATTTGATGAAGCTATGTTACTCAGCCATCGTATTATCTTTCAGACACTATCAATTCTATAGTTTCTTCCATTTGAGATCATTTAATGTTATTAGGTGCCTATGGTAAATTATCCAAAAGGATTTCCTGATTACTTGAATGGAAATAACTTGTTTTCGTTGAAGCAGTCAGGTACTACATCTTTGCACTACTAATTGGTTTGGTAGGCTATTGTAGCTGCGAATATGGCTGATTCTCTGGCGATTGATTCAGAAAGTCATTCGATACTACGGGCCATAATCTATAGTGTAAATAGCTTCACTTCACTTATATGGATAGTGCAAATCCAAGTTTGTCTTTGAAGGAAGATTCCTTATGGCTCTATTCTTCGGCTTTTAATAATTGTCGACCCATACTCTTCTGAAAATAAATGATCATTCAAAACAATAACATAAAAATTGATACAAAACAAGGACCTACTACTTATTAGAATACTCAAATTAGGCTTTGATGTCCGCAAAAATTTATCGCTATAGCTGTTCAACTAACGATCCTATTATCGACTGCCGTTCGACTGACACTGACTGCCCAATTGATAACTGTCCCATTCTGGCTCACTGAGAGCCTACAACAGCTGTATATTTACTTTATTCTGCCTCAGAAATATTCTGGAGAATTTCAAGCGTATTTCCCTATGATTTCAGAACCAGTGCTGCTGTTTTTTGATGTTCATCATCCCATCCGCTTGCACTAGAAGCGGCATCGAACTGACGTTTTACATAGTCCAAGATGTTCCGCCGTTGAATTTCGCCTTTGAATTTTTTTCGGGCCATTCATGTGTTGTTGAATACGAGGCAATTAAACGACCCTGATAATACCTCTGCTGTCTTGCAGTTCTTACAAAAATTTCTGCGGAGTCGGTCCTATCCTATGGTTATTTGCCGCCACTTTTGTCAGGTGTTCCTCTATGGAGTCTATGATCTTATTAAATCGTTCTACCATGCCATCAGACTGTGGATCTAAAGGTGTTGTCCTTGTCTAACGAATGCCCATGATGTCACAAATTTTCTTAAAGATGGCAAATTTGAAGTTTCATCCCTGATCTGAATGCAACTCTAGTGGCACACCATGACGACTGAAAACTTCGTCCACTAGCACCTGGGCAACAGTGATGGGTTCTTGATTGGGAATAGCGAAAACTTCTGGCGATTTACTGAAGTAATTCATGATAACCAAGATGTATTTGTTACCACGCTCTGACTCAGGGAACGGTCCGGCAACATCTATCGCTATTCTTTCAAATGGGAGACCGACGTTGTACTAAACTGTGGTTGTACTGTTGCATGGGCCCCCGAGATCTTAGTTCAGGGCCTTTACTGGTAGCACAGATGTCGCATTTTTGGCACCACTTCATGATAGTGAACGCAGTAAAAACGTTCCCGAATTTTGTGCAAAATCTTGTTAATTCCAAAATGTGCCCCTGAAGTCTGTCATGTATTTCTTTCAATACATCTTCTATTCGATCTTTTGGAATAACCAGTTGGCTCTTAGTAGATTTTCTATCGGCACTTTCTCAAATTTTTTTCAGTAAACCATTTTTTACGTTCGACACTTCCCTCCATTCCGGCCTACATTTATCATTTTCCTTAAAATGTAGAAATTGCCCGATGTCCTGGTCTGCTTCTTGATCTGCTCTCATTTGTTTGATAGTCCATTTGTCATCAACGATCAGACCCGTTCCTCTCACAGCCGGAACAGTGTTTTTCTCATACATATCGATTCTTTGACGAAGCTTCCCGTCTTATTTACATAGTCGTCTAGACAGAACGTCAGCACTTTATGTAGGTTTCCAGGTCGATGTTTAATTTGGAAATCGTATTACTGCAATCTCTCAATCCATCTAGCAAGCTGTCCTCCGGGAGTTTTCAGTTCTAAACGGCATTTTAGAGCTGCGTAATCCGTTCGAATTAGAAACTTACGTCCGTAGAGTTGACACAATAATTTCGTTCTGGCTTTGATAAGGTTCTTCTGTAGTATTCTGGGCTTGTACATAATGCTTCTTTTAATTTTCTAAAAGCGGAATCGCATTTTTGGGTCCAATCGAATGTTGATTTTTTTCCGGTAATCGATGAAGCGGTCGAAGCGGAGCAGCTTTATTAGCGAATCCTTCTACAAATCTTCGATAATAAGAACATAATCCCAGAAAACTCCTTAGTTCATGTTTTTCGCGTGGTTTTGTCAATCCCTGACAGCATCTATCTTTCCTTCCATAACTTGTATGCCATTTTCAGATACCGCGTGACCTAAGAATTACACTTTCTTTTGAAATAGAAAACACTTATTTGGATGGAGTTTTAAGTTGGCATTCCGGGAGCGGTCAAAAACTACTTTCAGGTTATTGAGATGTCCTTGGAACGAATTTTCCATGATCATGACATCATACCAGACAAGTTATCCATGCAAGGCCTCGCAAAACTAGATGCATCAGTCATTCAAACGTAGCGGGAGCATTACACAATCCGAAAGGCATTAGGTTGAACTGGTATAACCTGCTTCCGGTACTGAAGGCAGTTTTCCCTTTGTCATCTCTGTGTATTGCCACTTGCCATTATTCACTCTTAAGATCCAAGGTGGATGCCCGATAGAGTTGTTAATGTATCTATCGTCTATCCTCGGAAGAGGAATGCTGTCCTTCTTGGTGACGTCATTAAGGTTACGGTAGTCCACACAAAATCTAAGACTTCCATCTTTCTTTGTAACCAATACTACTGGCGCAGACCATGGACTATTTGACTCTTGAAGCAATTTATCAATTTGGTTTTCCACTTCCTGTTGTTTAGCTACTGGCATACCCACGTCGTGGTTACCTAATTGGGTGTGCCAATCCAGTATCAATTTTGTGTTGAATTAAACTGGTTCGTCCGGTTTGATTATCCATCACAAATACGCCTGCTTCTTTCAAGATGAAATCTTGATGATTCCATGATTGTTCGAAAGTCTGCATCAAGATGTCTGTATCCAATTTCGATTTTACAAAATGTCACTTATCTGATAGGTAACAGTTCGATATTTGCTTAACTGGTTCGAGAGTTCCAATAATATCTCCTTCCTTTATTTTTACTGTTTCAGAAGAAACACTGTCAATTCTTATCATAATGTCTCCATTTGTTCTTACCAAAGTCTTTCCAACGAAATTTTTTTCTGGTTTACCTCCAATCAAATGATGTGTGATGACAGTCCAACGCAGCACACAGGGTTTGTTTCCAATTTTTCGCAAACGATTTTTTCAGTACCTACTTCCAGGAATCATCACCAGGTTTGGGACCATGCCATGATCTTAACGGGTTGAGATTCTTCTTTTGTAGTTAGGACAAATTCTTCATTACCAAATTTAAGGATGTTCGTAGAAGGATCGAAAAAAAAACCATGTTGGCCGATCAAATCCATTCCCAAAATAAAATCATCCTCTATATCGGCTACTAATGTTCGGTGCCTAAAGGTGGTAGATCCAAAAATAAGCTCAACGATAGCTTCACATGAACTGGTGCCGATTCGCCCGTGACTGTTCGTAGTGACAGGTTTCTAGGCCTCTTCTTGTTTTCGCCTAGCTTTTTTTTTTTTTTACGGATATGCGCACTCGCAAGGAAATGTCCTATCACGCTCGAGAAGCGGCAAGTGCGCGGAAATGTCGGTGTATGTTGGTCTTGAAACGGTTCAGGTTGTAACCTGCAGGGAAAACCGTCGCAGGGAGTTTATTCCACAGCGATGCTGTTCTCCAGAGATATGAATTCTGATATAATGAGGTTCTCGGTGCCTCTAGTTTGACAGTAAATTCATGGTTACCGTCTGTTTGACAAGTTCGCCTGGTAGGTGCTACTCTCGGTGGAATCATACGTGCCAACTCTTCAGAGCATTTTCCGTGATAGTACCTGTAGAAGAGAGATAAATCGCCCACAGATCTGCGATGTTCGAGACCATCCAAGTTACGAGTAAGTGCGGGATCATTGATCAGCTTGATAGCTCGTTTTTGCACGGTATTCAAAAGCATTCAGGTATGTTTGGGTGCTGCACTCCATATATGTGAGCAGTACTCAGTGGCGGCCAGTGGCAAACTAGTGTGGTTGTGCGCTCTTGGAAAATTTTTTGGAGGTGCCACGTCCTGTTTTACAAGTTGATTTTTTTTCTTTTTACTTTAGGAAAAATTATCGAAAACAAAAATATATGTATTTAAATGAGGCTTGAATGTTTGTATTCTAGCCATAATACATAATTGATATTGAAATTTAAAATTTAAAAAAAAAACCGCGAACAACAAAGTTGTCAAACCGCCAAAATGGTGAAAAAACATCGAAATATTCTCGATTGAGTGGAAACAACATTGGAAGTGTGTATTCAAATAGCGCACGGCGCATCCCTTTCATCGGGCGACTTACCGTATATTCCCGATCAATCGCACAGCGAGAAAACACATTTACCCAGAGCGCCGAACGATTCCACACCGACCACCCGGACCACCAGCATAACCAAGCGGGAGAAAAAAAATACAAGACAGGCGCAGGGCGCGCTTTCGTTCCGTTCGTGCGAATTTAAAAATAGAAAAATGAGTAGATATTTATCCTAATTTAGAAAATTGG